ATTCAGATACTACACTTATTTATGGATTTCTTGGATAATCTTATTCAGATACTCCACTTATTTATGGATTTCTTGGATAATCTTATTCAGATACTCCACTTATTTATGGATTTCTTGGATAATCTTATTCAGATACTCCATTTATTTATGGATTTCTTGGCATGTGGCCAAATCACAGCTGCCATAATTATACTAAAGCAAGGTATATGGACATTTGTAAGTAAAGCTGTCCAGCTGGCAATGTCATATGAATAACTTAAAGTAGCATATACACAAACAAAGGCACCATCCAGGAATTATGAGATTATCAGATCAAATAGAATAGAAATATATAAACCCTTTATGATGAAAGCGTAGAAGAAATCTAAATATTAATTTAAAATTGTTTATTCAGAATGATTTGTTTGTTTAACTGGTGTTTTTGGAGTTTAATGCAAAGCTATTCGAGGGCTATCTGCATTACCCATTCCTAATGTTTAAGTGATAGACTGGATGTAAGGCAGGTAGTTAACACCACCTTTTGCGCTACTGCTTCACCAACAATAAGTAGGATTGGCGTCACGTTATAACGTTCCTCATGATTAAAAGGGTGAGTCTATTTGGTAACAAATTGCGAGTAGAGCATCCTAACCACCAGGCAACATTAAGCTCACTCAGAATGGAAGAAGTATAGCATGGGTGGTATTACAGTTGCAACCATCTTTCTTGTCTTCTAATGATTAACTTATACTTATCTGGTGGAGTACAGAGTGGATTCTACCATCTTTCTTGTCTTCTAATGATTAACTTATACTTATCTGCTGGAGTACCGAGTGGATTCTACCATCTTTCTTGTCTTCCAATGATTAACTTACACTTATCTGCTGGAGTACAGAGTGGATTCTACCATCTTTCTTGTCTTCTAATGATTAACTTATACTTATCTGCTGGACTACAGAGTGGATTCTACCATCTTTCTTGTCATCTAATGATTAACTTATACTTATCTGCTGGAGTACAGAGTGGATTCTACCATCTTTCTTGTCTTCTAATGATTAACTTATACTTATCTGCTGGAGTAGAGTACCGAGTGGATTCTACCATCTTTCTTGTCTTCTAATGATTAACTTATACTTATCTGCTGGAGTAG